CTACGTTTCCCAACAACGTACTGGTGATGTCACCTCGACTTGCAATCAAATTATCCAGCTCAGCGAACAGACCAGCGACCATCTGCGCTACCTGAGCTACCAACATTTTTCTTCCATAGAAAATGTTTTAAGGTATTCTTAGTGAAGTCCCAAGTCTTTGCTGCTGAGTGATGCGAACGAATCGGATTTGATGTTTCAGTGTGTCCCCGTGAATAAACAGGAAAGGAGACTGGACGTGGAACTTGAATACGCCACGCCTCCCCCGGAACTAAGTTTCAGGGCCCGTTTGAGCGAACAAAGTCCTTCTCAACAAAGGGATACGGAATGATGGGGAACACACCAGAGTACAGAAATCATGAGGATAATTTAAATGGTACAGCTTTCTTACAAACGTATTCTCAGATTTATCCAAATGAAAGTAAAGAATAAACCCTTTCGTAGTTATGTGCAGCAGTTATAGTTAGGGGGCATGGTTGAGGGACTAAGTGCAACCGAACAAGACGGAAGAGCACATAGCAGAATGAAGCTTATGTAGAAGTTATCTGTTCACGGTGAAAAGCACCCAGGAAAAGTTCAGAAGAACCTATTTGACTGTAGAATTAATTTTGTCTAGATACAGAGCAATAATGTGAGCAAAGCGACCAACAGAAAGTCGATTCGTCTCACAGGTGAGTCGCACAGAGTCAGATGAATAGAATAAAGGAGGAGGAATATCATGTTGTGCTATTTCTCCCCTGAATGTCTGTAAGCATAGGGAAGGTGTAATGGGGCGATATTCCCACTCGCTTAAGCAGTGGTTTATTGTAAACGTTCCTCCAAATAACTGAAAAAAGATAGGTCCAGTACAGCCTCGCCCAACTCGTCGGTACAGTACTTGGTAGGATTATGGAATGTGCTATCAGAGCTGAGAGAATAGACTAGGTTTGGGCAAGTGCGTCGGATATTCTTGAAATGCCAGCAGGGTAGTTATCTGGAAGAGGAGCGAGGGTTGTTTGTAAACACACTGCCCATTACTCTGGTTTACGGAACCTTAGGAACAACACTTTTTCCTCGCCAATTTTTCTTCGGGATTGTCATGGTGAATCCAGACCGAGTGCGGCATGTCCCGATCCCATAACAGACAGTTACACGAAGTAATAGGATATTTAGAACTTGCACGTTTGGCATCAGTAAAGCCCTAGAGTTGTAAGATTCTGCTTCCAGTTCCCAAAAATGGGCTTGGGAAATATACTGGATTCACACATGTTTTTCGTATTAGTCCGTAATTAAGTCTAATGTGATGGACAGTGGTGGCGACTATATAGAAACAGTGTTACGACTACTGACTGATTGATGGGCTCGTCAATTTTCATGTTGTCTTTGGTGTAACCGGGAGTGTTTTAACGGCCAGATACCCATTCGCCACATGTGTTGCTAGTTTCAGCATGAGTTCCGGGCGTTAATTTTGTTGTTGAACTTTTGTCACTCATTTGACAGTAGATTCACTAAGGTTTATTCACATTTTCGTGCTTTGCGACCAGTGGTTCCCTTGATTGTTCTGTTTGGCACTTTAGGTCACTGCGTCCAGCATTGATGACAGCACTGTGGTTTCCTCCTCTGTGGAAAGACCACTTTTGACATTTCCTTCGGGGCATGTTTCACTGGTGGCATCTGCATTGCATCATGCCTCATGGCCTTCAAACTACGTCAACTTGTTTCGATTAACTCCCATATTGAGAAGAAAAAGGCCTATTACTGCCCTCCACAACTAACTCATGGAAGTAGAAAAGTCCTATCTTGCTGATTTTAGCATAGACGCTCTGGGCATTATCAGCTGGAAGATTCCTCCGTTGACTGCTTTAAAAAAAAAATAGATCACACATTTACACCGACCGATGCAACCAAACTCTCTAATCTTGCACCCCGCGATCAAGTGATCCCTGTTAAACTCTTTAACTTCACTACTTAGGGATAATTAACCTTAAAGCTCGCTGACAAATGATCCTGTGTGCGAGACCGTCTTCCGTCCACATTTTTCCAGTGGGTACTGTCCACACGCACACACTGTTGCTTTCCCCCCAACCGTTTCTCTCAGCCCTGGAAGAACAGTAGAATTTCCCATCCTATTATAACGAAAATGCCGTCATTCTAATGACACATTGGTACTAAGTCGGGCGTGCAAGTGTCAGGCATCATTTCTCGTGTGCTAAACAGCCATGAAGAATGTAACAAACGAGGAAGAACAGTAGAATTTCCCATCCTATTATAACGAAAATGCCGTCATTCTAATGACACATTGGTACTAAGTCGGGCGTGCAAGTGTCAGGCATCATTTCTCGTGTGCCAAACAGCCATGAAGAATGTAACAAACGAGAGATCCAGCTGGGATTCAGTTGAGTCTTTCATTAAAACCAAATTAGTACGCAAATTAGTGTATTTCATTACCTGTTTCATACTACCTCAAGTGCAAACTACTATCTTCTATGTGTCAATCTTGAACACAGACTCTATGGCAAAGGTTGGTGACTTGTTGTTTTAATTGCTCAGTTTTATCAAAGCATTACTGTTCCCACAATTAATGGATGAAAAATCCAAAGTTACTAAACCGTCTACCATTAGTTTCTGTGCTCAGTTGTTGGCTCAATCTGTGACACATACTGCTTTAGGTAGACTACGTTTAACGAAGTACACTCATTTGCAAACCAATTTGGCTTTGCGAGAGATTCACCTGGAGCCCAGCTGAATCTCTCGTTTGTGGTGTTTCCAGACTGTGTTTGTTCGACGCTGTGCGACGTAGCGCAGCTGTGTTTGTCTGAATGAAAAATCTCTGTCAAGTTAGTCTAACCGTTGCTGTTGGAAGCGGTTGTGTTCACTCACACCGGAAAACGTTTATTCGACATAAGACAGTTCCGGTCCTATAGGAACAACAGGACATTCGCGAATCTGTAGTTATTCTGAAGTTGTTACAAACTGCAAATATCACTTTCGAGGTAAGTTGTGGAACACTGATCAAATGTATTGATACTCAGTACGTGTTTCTGTGTTTCTGGGGCGAGATGGCTCAAGTGGTTAGAGCGCGAATTTACTGACCGGAAGGTCCGTGGTTCGAACCCGACCTCCGCCACTCGACTTCCCCTGTCTAGGCTTGGGCAACCTGACAGTATCCCAGCCCTCGTGCTTCCTTCGGGTGGCATGGCAGCTAGGCACCGAAAGGGCGCTACAGCTGAACGATTATTATATTATATTATTACGTGTTTCTGTTATTTCGTTTTTGACATCGCTTGCTTTAACAGGCTCAAACCGTGATTTATATGAGACACATTGCACCACAGGTGTCATGTTTGTTAACCACACACTTTGCTCAACGGAATTGCGCCGAAGGTACTGTCGCCACGGCCTAATTCAAGCACCATAACAGAACTACTACCGTATTCAGTTTATTGTGCTACCGAGAAAAAATGCACAATTCTAGAGACCTGTCATGCCATACAAACACAAAATCGTCAACGTTTCAGAAATGCGATTCACCACTACGAAATTCAGTATAATAGACTTCCACTCCTTGTTGGCCTGTGTTCTGGACTTGACGGTGCTAAAAACCTGGAAAGATGCTAAATTTGAACGGTTGGTAGAAATCTCTGGTAATACTGATTCCTTCACACGTTCCCCCATTTCGATTTCATGACAGTGTGAATCAAAACCCGTTAGGTTTCAGTTGATGAATGCACGTCCTGTCTACTTCAATTCAAATTTGCCGGTTAGGAGACTCAATGAAATTTCATACAAGAAATTTCATGTCAGACTTTAATGCCCAACCCTGGAGGTAGGAAACCTGCAGTCCGCTTACTCAAGTATATCCAGTCCAGCTGGCTTCGGCTTGGTATCACATGTTTGTTTCAGGCACCCACTGACCATGAAAAGTCACGCAGTGTTTATGACCTGTGTGATATGGTGTGGGAGCCTGCTATTGAAAGGGATCGCATAGTGATCCCCTTATTAACCCAAACTCATTCAATGGTGATGGTAGAGAGGGGATAATACTGCTAAATCAGGTTCGCTGTTTGTGAGTTGTGGTGAAGTGGCCAAATCCGTTGATAGTCCACTGAAAGCTTTACTCATTCCATGGTTCTTTGAACAGTCCAAACCCAAAAATACTATAATTATTTTCATGTAATTTGTGCACGTATTGTACTTGTAGCCCATTTGCATAATCCGTTGCAGACCGAAGCGGCTATTACTCTGCACTAAGATTGGTCTTCGGTAAAAGTTCCGTGAAGCTCCAGGTATGGCGTTCTTTTACTGCTGCTGGATGTTTATTGAGTGCATTACAATTGCATTTGGTCGGAAACTTTGGTTGTTTTTTTATTCAATATGTCCACACCGAGTTTTTTTTCAGGATTATCGTGAATCACTAGTAGTCCCACTAAACTGTTTCGTCATCGTACTAGATTGGTTTGGATGGAAATTCGCTCTCATCGCAATATGGCCTTGTATTTCCAGTAGTCTAACACATCATCCTCTTCGTGGTTGACGTACAGGCATACTAGATGACCGAGGCTCATATATTCGACTACGTTAAAATGCTCCACCACTGTATACACGATACAACTTGTCTTATTTCTACTGCACGTTTGCAATAGTCCGGGTGTGTGATTGAAGACGCTGCTCTCAAGACTGGTGGTCTAAATCCCTCCGTGAATTTATTTAATCGTCTAGTCTTGTACAGCCTTCAAGCCATATACCTTCCTCAAACTATATGGCAACTATGTGCTGAACCATTCGTAACGCGAACCGAATACCGCAGTCCACGTCAATCAGAATTTCTTACGGTCCACTCGGTATCCCCTAAATTATATTCGGTTTGTTTTGGGGTTGCCGATATTTTGGATATCACTTAATCATCTGCTGCTGACGATCTTGTGTTACTTTCATTGACCTCAGAGAATCAATTTAATTTTTCCGCACGTGTCTACTCGGTTCCTCAAGTCTCAGTACACTTACTGTCCATCCACCCCTTTCAGCCTGTTGATTACTCATGAAGGTCACATTAAACTGACAGACTTCGGGCTTTCTCGAATCGGTCTGATGAATTTGGCTACCAACCTAATTGAGAAGAATCTCGATCTGGACAAAGATTGTAAAATGTTTCGCGACAAACAAGTCTTCGGCACGCCTGAGTATATAGCTCCAGAAGTTATCCTACGACAAGGTTACGGTATGTTTGGATGCCATGTTGCGCTACGCGTTTTTTCCCTATCCGTCGTGTACCTTGAATACAACAAAATCTCATTGTTCGACTGATCCGACAAACGCGATAACAACTTCTTGACCTGTCACAGGTTTCTTTCAGAAACCACAGGGCAAAGAGGACATCCGTACCCAAACTAGTTTTATTATCTTGCTTCAACCCTGCCTGAACTTGTTGTTTTTAGGTGAACACTATTTGCCCACACGTGCCATCTTGGCCGAGTTATTGATGCTGATCGGTAATCCGTGCGCTAGTTTCATGCAGTTTTTGAACACCTGGTTGTAGCGCTCCTTCACATACTTTTCGTCCACCCCTTTGCGAAAACAGCTGTGTTTAAATGGAATGCCGCACTATTTGGGACAGCGTTCGATGAATTGGAATTCGCCTTTAAGGAAGTCGGCACACCGGCCTCGCTTGCAAATGCTGGTTATGAACTTCAATAACGCACCTCAATCCAAGGTTGTAGTGAATCGAACCGATCACAATTGCAACACTGCAGCAGCGATCAGCAGTATTCGACACGTGTTTCGGCTAAACGAATCGAAAACTAGAACGCATTTAACACTTTCGCTGAGTTCATAAATAGTCAAGGAATCAAGCTCTGGATACACTTTCAGATTTGTTGAAAGTCAAAAAGACCGAATCTCTTCAGGACAGTACAAAAGCTAAAGAAATATTCTGTTTACTGTCCGTGAATCACTGTATATCAGTTGGTGCAGTCGCCTTCCATTTAGATGCACTGTGTGATCCGTATCTTTGTCGTGCAGTACTGTCAGATGACTCGATTCGGTTGTCACGTATCATCATGTCAATCAAAGTAGTATTACTCTTTCTTTCTGCTAATGAAGGAAAGCTTGGTGGTTCGGGTTGCTTATACAATGCTACTTCCATCCTTTTAGGACACGAAGTGTGGCTTTGAACGATGTTAGGCTATTCTTCCCCCTACCACCCAATCACCATAATCCAATTTTGCTTCCGTGATATCGCCACAGGACGAGGATGCTCTGTACCCTGGATCAGCGGACAAACCGACAGGAATTTTCCCTTGGAATAGGTATATGAGATGAGGGAGTCGCCATATACTCTTACTTATTCCATTGACTCTGTCTCCAACAGGGTTAGCTTAGTGACCCCAGTTTTAAACAGAAATTCATGTATTTTGGCGATATCTTTAACGTCTTTAGACTTCTAGGGTTCGTAAGCCAGCTTCTCTGCACTCCGATCTATTTCAACGGACTGTCGCTGTGAATTGCCTTTTTGATGGAAACAACTCGCCCTCCTTCTTGGATTTTCCTCGTGCTTTAAGTCAGGATGGTTTTAAAGTTGACCCACGTGCCTACGTAATCTCGTGGTTAAACTGAGCAATCAACACACACTATATTGTGACAAATGGAGAAAACCGGGACCGGAAAGGTTCTGTCTATACTTTGTGAGATAGATGGAGGACAAATTTCGTGCTTGTTCACATTCACATTCATCCTTTCACATGGAGCACGCACAATTAGTTGCACAAATAGACCAGCTTTCACAAATTAGCCAATGTGTTTCGGGTGTTTCTTATTTTAATGAATGAACATTATCATCTTTAGGTCAGTGCTTTGTTTGAATGACAACCCAGCACAGATTGACTTCAGTGACCGATATTGTCTTCTAATTTGTACAGTGCTATTGTTGACTGCGTGTGCTTCACTTTTGTGCGACCATGCTACTCCATTTGATGATAGTCCTGTGTTGAAACTAAGAAAATGATTCAGGGAAACGGAGCTATTCCTAGTGCTTCACATGCATTCCGAGGTGCAAACACTGACAAATTTGTAATCAGATAGTTTATATAAAAACCGATACATATTGATACCGTCTTTGAATCTTGGTTTCCAGCTTCGATAGCCGAGCACAACTGAACTCATTACATAGATTGTTTTACTCACTGCGAAAGCCGCACGCGTCTTAGTGGCTACTAATTCGGCGCACGTAGCATACGACAAAGTCACCGCGTTTTGTCTTGTTGATTACATTCCTCCCGAACGCTATATGACGCATGTCTGCTGCACATAACCACACATCCCACACCTGGCTACGCATTCGTTGGTACTATGGTTGCGAGATATTGGTAATCAAGACTCAGTGGTGTTCCAACTCCTTTATCAGCCGGGGACTTACAACAGCTTGTGGCATCCAGTTGAGTTCAGTCACAAACCGTGTGCCGATGATATGTTGAATCCAGCTATTAAGGTTTTGTTCACCGAAGTTGACGAGGGGGGTCAATGGCCTAACTGGTTAACAGAACTGGAACTGCGGTAATGTTCCTAATACGGAAGTTCCATTATCATGTTTGTATCATTTCTCAGGGTTACCAGCCTCCCAGGGTCCCCATCGAGGGGTCGGTGTCTCTTGATTGGTTACAGACTTACCACATTGAACTCATTTCCGGAGTGCACACTGCCTGCACTGTACACATGCAACCCTCAATGGTTCATTACTTTTTGGGTTACAAGTGTCGAAATTTGAACAACGTCATAAGTCTTTTGAATTCATCCCCATACCCTATCTGTTACTCTAAAATTAGAACTGGTGCAACTTCCGTGCTCTAGAACCTTTCTTTCCTCTTCGTTCCTTCGCCTCTCCTCGTTTTGTATGCGTCACATGAAGATTAAAACTATGACTTTAAAACAAAACACCTTGTAGTAGTAGTAACGTAGTAACGTAAATCGTTTTGCAGTGATATTTAAGCAGGGATCTTCAGCCAACACCTGGGGGAGACTATTTTCATGAAGACCTCAATACGTCAATCAGTAATGTCACTTTGTATACTTGAAGTGATGTGAATCCATCTTTCAGCTATTCCACACGTGACCAACGTGACCTACCTCTACTTTGGTGCTGATATTCTCTTCTGTGGTTCTAAAATGATGATTTAAATTTTTAAATTTTCCGGATTAAAAGTGCCGTAGTCCTCCCCGGTAAGAAATGTAAACGGGAATGTTTCTGTAAAATGGTTGCTACAACGCAACATATTTACATGGTTTTACAGTCAGTCATTTTACTGCCTTCCATTCCGTCATTCGAATGAAGCAAGGTGGTTTTGAGTCAAGTAAAACTAACCACATCGTACACCACTCATTAGCGTCTCACTGATGCATTTTTGGGTCGTATATGAGATGCGATCTGCCATGTTTGAGGATTCCACTATTGCCCACGCATCTGGTGACAAATTGTGGTACTACCCGACTCAATGTTTAAATAAAAAACAGTCAATGAACGTAGTTGAATCTATCGTTCACTGTATTTTTAAGCTGCACACGGTCCACTCCGTGTTTCGATATTCGAAATATCGAAGTTTGCTTTCTTCACCCAACACTGCAGTACTTATGAGATTGCCGGAAAACCCTTCGACTATCCAACAACTTATAAGTAGCACAGTGTTATGCCGAGAAAATACTTGTCGTTACCACGAATTGTATGCTAAGTGACACATGCAATTATCGTTCCATAGTTTAATCGATTGGAGAATATCGTAAACGACGGATTTTGTTAAGTTGTAGGTGTGTGTTTCGCCACCGGTTTTCTGTTTGGTGTCAAAGGTTGACGAAGACTCGGGGACCACGCCTATTCGATGAATCCCAAGACAGACGAAACCCGTAGTCATCTAGTGAAGAGTTTTCAGAAACCTTAAGGGTAGTGTGCTCCTTCAATAATAAGGCAATATGAGGTTTTCTTACCTATCATCTTTTCTACTGAGCGGTCTTAATCTCCTGCCTTGAGCGCTATAAAACACATCTTCAAATGTTCAGGTTGTCAGGTATGCTTTAACTAACTCCCAAACGTTAAGCGAATGTTGAACACGCACTGCATATCTCTTGTAAACGAAGAATCTCTAACAAGTAATCGCTCAACCTAAAGTCGACCCCTACGAATGGTGCAAATCAAGGTATGTTTTCGCCACAAAATGCTCCGTACATGACCTCTCTGATCAGAAACACACAGCAGAGCAACCATGAAGCCCAACTAGGCAGATAATTTAGAGAACGATCTCAAGAACTCACCTAGGTTTCACATGGAAACGCCCCTTGAGAAAAGAGCGAGCATTAGTCCTAGCGTAATGCATCAGCGACTCGTACAAACAACGAGGCAGTCTTATTCATTCCACTCTTAACTGAATCTGTCTTTCGGGTAAAAAATGGTACGACAATAATACATACTGGGCGATGATCACTCTGTGGCACTGTATATTGGGCCGAAACAACGTGAACGGATGCGCTGAAACTTTAGTGCACAATGCCTGTCTAACTAACCAGTCTCAGCTGCTTCTTTTATTTTCCCCCCTATATCAACCATTCTATATGTACTGACCTGATGACGCGATTCCGAAAACATCAGGTTGTTCTTATTCTGCGAATAGCTTGAAGGTCAGGAAGATTTTAGGACACTGTATCGTCAAACTAAAAGGCATTGCCCATCAAGACTGCGAAATAGAGATCTTGGGCTATAGATATAGCACTTCAAAGCAATCAGTCAGATTTGGTAGTTGATAATGATCCTGTGCTGTTTTTTGTCCCGACAAGTCGTATTAGGGATGTGAACGATCCAGGTGGAAATAATGAGTTTATGTGACGGTAGGAAAAGCTTTAGATGTATTCGTTTCCAGAATGATCTATTTACTCCACTAGAGAACGGTTCTGGTGGTATTTTCTCTCTAAAACGGCTTCATTTGTTTATTTTTTGCTTTTCTAACTGGAAGATACTTTTTGGATTAGAGTACCGACCCTCCTCCCCGTTAAGTGCCCCATTACCCAACGATCTCCCCGCTCAAACACGCCTTTGTAGCTGTGCACTATAAGAGTAAAAAGTAAAGGTAGAACTCCCTACCAGTCGCAACCTTTTTACAAGATTATGAAGACCCACAAAACGTATGGTTCTTTAGAGTGATTGGTTCAAAAAGTTGAAGTGTGTTTTAGAATATCCGCACCGTATTCGATACAAATGAGGTCCAATAGAATATGCGTTGTGTGTGACGTTCATTCGAGTTAATGATTGGCAGAAAGACGACCTTAGAAGCGGTATGTTTTGTATGAGGAACTGTTTTTCAACCACTAATCAACCCAAGTTGTATTGTTATGTAGAACACAATGTAATATCGAATACTGCGTTCGCCAGTCCTCGACGTGGATCTAAGGGCTTTCGATGGTGATACAACATCGATTTCCTGCATATAGTATACGAATTACGACTCAAATCGACATGTCAATGAACGGATAAGGCATGTTTGCGTACCACATACACTCAAGATAGTAAACACGTTTTTATCGCCCCTCACCGCGCCCTAACTCAACCTGATACCCTCCAAAAGAAAGCGTGACTTGCAAACGGGTACAATGTGCTGCCAAAATAAACTCGGCTACGAGCCGTCTTAATCGAACTGTACAATGTGCTGCCAAAATAAACTCGGCTAAATCGAACTCCACTTGGGTGCGCAGCACTTTCACTGTAGTGCTACTATTCAGTCACGATGGTGTTCTATGTGATTACTCCGTTGGTCTACAAGGTTGGCCGCTCAAACAACCCAGTCTTTATCATTTTCTTACACAACAATGCATCAGAGACCACACAATGACCGACTTCGATGCTCTTGGGTACCAGCATTGGTTACTGTTGTTTGTATTGCACACGACCGCTGTTGATTAATCATGCTCAATACGTCTTCAGAAACGCGTAGACAAAATCAGACAAGTTTTGCCCCACCCCTTAGGTTTCACTAGGCAGATGGCAACATGATATTAGTGTGAACTGGATAAGTTAAAAGGACCAAGGGTTTTGCACATCGTGAGCTGTAGGAAAGTCGGTTATGGCGTGTGGATGGCAATCGGTCCGTGGCCTAAGCATGCTACTTAATGGTACTTTACCTGGATATCTTGATACGCACTGTAAACTGCATGGCCAATAGTCAGCGTGAGTTTTCTGTTTGTTTCGTTTTTAATGCTGCTTTTTCTAGATGTCTTTTGTTTTTTAATTGTAGGCAAGCCGGTTGATTGGTGGTCGTTGGGTATCATTCTCTATGAGTTCCTTGTGGGGTGTGTGCCATTTTACGGCGATACCATCGAAGACTTGTTTTCTGAAATTGTCACAGGTGAGCTAATTTTTTTTACTTCAAAGCCCTTGTTAGCTAACTCTTTCATATTAGTCAGTACAGTGTGATGCATGTCCATGGCTTGCGGTTAACATATTCAAAGTTTGCGCATCTTTTTATCGGAATGGATACTGCAAGAAAAGGACTGCACTGTTTGCCAGCGGATTTTTACGGCACTCGTTCACTTAACAGTTACAGTTCTTGTCGCGCACAAGCCGCGTACCAGTTTTCTTTATACTGTAACCAACCGAAACCGGTTTAGTTGCGCCTTAAAAAAACAATGTTTGTATATCTGTTTACACTAACATCACTCTTCCAATCACCCTTGGAATACAGTTTCAACTAAAATGACAGCAAGGAAACCGATGGAAGATGTGGAGCAAAAAATTGGTCGCAAATTCATATTCTTAGTCAGATGGAGGTTGACCATGTTAATCCGGGAGGTAGATAAATATCCGTCGCACTGTTTGTATGTTCTCACGTCCCCTGTGTGGCTTCACACGTCTGTATGAGTTACGTCACTGGCGTTACCATCAGTGACCTAGAAATTACAAACGAATCTATGAACTGTTTTACACAGTAGGAGTGCCAATAATGATCATCTGGTTTATTTTGTAACGGAAGTTCTTAGGATACCCTGGGAGTGGCTAGTCGGTTTGTGTAGAACATGAAAATGAGGTTAGATTTTTATGGGACCGAATAGACGTAAACGACTCAATCACTATATTTGACGGCATCTCGTTTTCGCCATTTTAGCCCCAATCGAGTGGCCAGAGGAAGAGGAATGGCGAGTTCCGGATGAGGCGGTGGAAATTGTCTCTCAGTTACTAGAGCGTGATCCACTTCTGCGCTTGGGTACGGCTTGTGGTGCAGCTGAAGTTAAAGAAGCTCGCTTTTTCGCCGGACCTCCACCGATAGATTGGAATAATCTCCTAAGATTGAAGGCGGCATTTGTGCCTCAATTGGAGCATGATGAGGACACATCCTATTTCGATCCACGCAGTGAACGATACCAGCATGATGTAGAGAGTGATGAGGATATTAGTTACTCGCCTAGGTCCACCTCTCAAAGCGGAAGGTCGTCTCCACTACAGCCCTCCTCTTCCGAGACCAGGGCTTCCAGTACCAATATGATCTCAACTGAACAACCCGCTATTCACTCCATTCGCAGGCCTGCAGCTTCTCGGCTGAGTCGCGAGAAACAGCAAAATCAAGGTCGTCGACGATGCCACAGTTTGAGTGATGCACTCAACTTGATACCGCGCGTCACACCGGGTCCGCTTCGTTCTTCTTTGACCCATAAATTTTTGTCCAGTAAACCTCCATGCGTATCGAAAGCGCTTTCAGGCCACTCTTCACGTACTTCAACCAATGAGCTTCGTGACACCGAACTCGCAACAACTACGCTGACAGCAGAGTCTGTGGAGAGCAAGACCGCTTTGCATATGCTTCAGAATTTATCCCTTGATGCAGACGCAATGACGGAGAAATCCGGCCGCTTATCAGAAGTTGGGAGCCCTAGTTCTGCAGCCTTTCGTACCAGATCACCCTGTCCTAACCAAAGAACCTCAGGTCCAAAGCCCCTACTGGGAACTGAGTCGGAGAGTGAGGAGGAGATTGGGAAAACACGAGACCCTGAAGTTGCCTTCCACTCGTTCGCTTCCTATTCTCCCAGATTCTCGGTTGTCTTGGAGCAAGCACGACTGAGCGAAATGATGGGTTCATCAACTTCTGAAGGATTCCAACATCCTCCCACCACGACAAGTTCGCTAACGATGGGTGATGTTCAAGGAAGTCGTTTGTCCAACAGAGACTCGATTGCCTCCGAACCACCGCGCACACGGTCGCCATTCTCTCCGACTTTTGAGCGACCCCGCATGTCGCTTCCGCGCCAGAGCTACACTGTTCCAGATTCCTTTGCTACAGAGACCTCGAGACCGGAGGATTCTGGAAAAGTAAGTTCTTGATTTTAATAAAGGAAACTACTCACAAGGTTGCTGAAAACTCCTTTTGATTTTAAGGTCTCACCTCCCAGTCTGACGCATAGTCGTACTTTTCACTTATGTTTTTTAGTGCTTAGTTACACATGCATCTTACTTTGTCGATAGAATTATCTCGTCTCTTTCTCACGCCGTAGTACAAGTTAGCTTCCGATCATTCACAACACATGAAAACCTGAAAAATCTTTTTAAAATCCTGTGTTTTCACAACGCGAGTAACGTGGGCTTGCTCACTGACGTGTGTTTATCTTCTGTTTCATTTTGTTCTCAACCTCTAAGATGATGGATAAGCTTTACAGTGCCTCTCTTTCTCACATCCCTTCCGCGGACACGGTCATCTTGTATGAACTCAACAGTAATATATAAGTTCGACAACAAAATAGCGGACGATTTTCTCTCGGAGTGGGTTGCCTAACTTCAGGTCGGGGAATATTCCATAGGATTCGGGAGATTTAATTTAATGCCCTCAATAGTTCAACCAACAGCCGTGCAGTTAGCAACCTTGTTTCGTTACATTTTTTCGTATTTTTTGTTCGTCGGCAGTCATTCTCCGTAGGTCGACATTTGATGAGGCTTGTTGGTCATCTGAGGAAAAACTGAGAACCGCTGGTCACTCAGTCTGTCCGAAGTTAATTCAGACGGACAACATGCGTCTTGTATCATTTGCTTGTCTGTTTTTCACACACTGTGCTGTCACGTCTGCGCGCCTCTTTATGCGTGGTAGCAACTTATTCTCATTGCTGTGTACGCCTCTCCCACTTTTGAGTGGGGGGACATGTACATGTTACCCTCACCTCAACGCTATCTTTTTTATGACGCTCAGTGAGCTTTAGTACAACGGTGTAGATATAGTTCAACGTTAGTATTGCAGCTAGGTGTGATCTGAACCGGTTATTAGGTCGGCAAGTCTATCAGCAAAACGGGAACTTCTGCCTAGCCAGTCAGCAAAATCGTATCATCCGACTGTAACCCTCTTCGGTACCTAACTGCCACTCCATCCAAAGAGAGCACGAAGGTTGAATTGCTGCCAGGTTGCCCAATCTCAGACAGGATGGGTCGAGATGCCCAGAGTGGGTCTGAACTACGGAGCCATGACGGGCTCGACCAGTCGGAAAAATTCCACCGTATCATCACTGATAACAAAAACGTAGGAAACAGTAGTCTTCATTATTCTGTGTTCTCACTGCATCGTCTCTCTGGAGAGACCGCCCTCAAAAGGTTCATCAGGTGACCTCTGAAGAGGGTTGGGTGCCTCTGCAGCATTACTGGATTATCCAAAGGTTTCATCATTCTTATACAACTCGAATGATTTGTATTATTTTACATTTGAAAAATTACTTAATTTCTTCTTGGCTGGCTTCTTCCGAACCCTGATGTGTGTAGGTAGTCTGTGCCCTCATGTTTATCCTCTTACTGATGTCTAAGTAGTGGTAGACGTTCAGCTGTAACTTCCTTTCGGTGCCTAGCTCACATGCCACTCAAAGGAAGCACGAGGGCTAAGATACTACAACGCTGTACAAGTCTAGACGGGAGCAGATGCTGAGATTGAGTTTTAACCACGAGCCTTCCGGTCAGTAATTCCTCGCCTTAACCATTGTGCTACCTTCTCCATTTAGTAATCTCTTTACTAAATACCCTTCGGTAGACGAAACAGTTATCTTTCTTAACCTGCCGTGTCAATGTTTTCCCTAATATTGACCCCATTTTTGTCATTTGTGTTCAGGCGGATTCCGCTCCAGCCTCATCGCATAGTTTCGTGCCGCAAAGTGGTCCCCGGATAGGGAACTCTTCTAAATCACCAAATGTGATCTCGGATTGTATCAGTCAGTCACCAGCCGCCGTACGAGAGTCCTCTGCTGACGTTCCCACGCCAATCAAGCAAGTGGATTCCCCATTTGAGCCATCAGGTTCCAATTCAAGTCTCGATTTATCACAACATGGCTCACTATCATGGCACTCCAGTTGTTCATCTAGTGATCCGGAACCCACTAATTCATGGGCAAAACATTTACCTGGTTTTTCAAAGACTCATGAATCAGAAATGCCCGTCTCTCTACCACCAGGTGCAATCAGCACTAACAATCGAATCTCTCCAAGATCGACCACCCCTGAAACAACCTCATCTTCTTCATCGTCGTTGTCGTTGACTATGCTCACTCTTCAGCCTCCGACTCCAAAACCGGCGGTTTGTTCGCATGAAGTGTCCCGTACTCCTGTTCCCCCTCCAGGCCCAACAGCCGTCTGGACAGATGACAAGCGTACATCTCTTTTAGGTAAATCCTCCCCTGTCACGACCCCCCGTCACTCGGAGCCCTTACGGCTTGATTCACGTCGCCGTCTTTCTAAACCTTCCCTCAACATAGGTGATCTGGCACCCGGACGTCCCAATTCTGATACCGTGCTAGTTGAATCTACAGAACGCAACAGGAGAGCCACACACACACCACCTAAACCTCCAGCTTTGGTTCTCACATCAGAGAAAGATAATCTTGGAAACGGTGCACGAGTTGAGCCACGATCGCCACTAGCCTCTTCTACGAACACAACGGGTCCCTCACAACGCCCACCTTCTGATCGTACGCCTACTCCCATCGTTATCCACAGAGGGAGATCTGGCTACGGGTTCACAATCCGTGCTATCCGCGTGTACTTTGGCTCCTCAAGTCGTTATACCTTGCATCATTTGGTCCACAGTGTCGATAGGAACGGTCCAGCGTCTCGCGCTGGTTTACGCGAAGGTGACCTCATCCTGTATGTCAATGACACCCCCGTACCTGGAATGGTCCATACGCAAGTGGTAAAGATGATCTTAAAGGTAACGTCCAGGTTCTATATTCGATTTCTTTTTTATTCTAATTCGCAATCGGACTTGTACTAAACTTCTTGGATTGCTGATTTACTCCCTGTTAACCCTATCGGTCCCACATGTTCTGTATGAGTTTGTCTTGATTGATATTTCATCAACTTTACTGCTTTATGTTCAGTTGAGATACCCATTCGGTTTGTTTACCTTTTTCTGAATTATATGCTTCGGCCTATCCATCCAGCATTGTCCTTTTTCCCGTGCAGAGTGGTCCGCAATTAAGGTTGTGTACAACACCCCTCGATCAGAGTTTCATTCGATCGGACGGACCTTGGCGCCCATCGGGAAAATTAGTTCCCCGTGCCTATCCAAGCTCACGAGGTAGTCACGGCAAACACCCCACGCGACAACTTGAACGTGGAACCACATCCACACGGAAGTCGCCCACTCAGTTATCGACCGGATCAAACACGGTCATTAAACCAGCCGGTCAGACAAGTTCACAGCCAGACTTCACAAGGCCTACTCCTTCCCCAGATGATTCACTGCCTTGCAACCTATTCCGTAGACCCACAGTACGTGAGGCACGCTATCGCCAGTGTGGTCTTGACTCCTCCGTCGACTCGGGAACCTCAGTGCGATCAGATTTGTCGCTACCCTCTGGCGATGCGCCGGTGATGCAAAATTCTGCTTCTCCTACTGGCAGCATTGGTTCTGAACCCTCAATACCATCCCCACGTTCAGGAGAACGACTTGGGCATGGTCAATCTTGTTGCACTGGTCCGACGGGCAAATTCGGCGCTCCAAGTTACAACTTGACCATGTATCAACGGTTCGGCATCCCCGTAAACTCTGCTCTGGCATGTTCTCCCGGGAGCTCTCCATCTACTGCAAACCATCCCCCCACTCACCGAAGGTAAGCATTTGCAATTAGTCATTTTGATTACCTTACGAATTAGTTTTCGAGTGGAATATCTTCTAGAGATTATCCAATCAAAACGTTGCTCTATTTCTTTTGCCATTGGATGATTTTGTTCTAGCTTTGTTAAATTTGGTTTGTTCGTAGCAGTATTCTCCCACTCTTATTTCTTTCATTCACTCTTTTGAGGCACAGTTTATCATCCAAGTTCAACACACATTTATCACAAGGCGTGTGACAACCATGAATTAGGGCCACTCCAGGACTTTGCATATATTTATGTATCCGAATGTTGTCACATTTTCAGAACAGCGAGTGCCTCATCGATTATTCTCCACTCTGAAGGGTTTTCAGAAAGCTTGGTCCAGCAGCTTCCTTATCCAGTTTACAATCTAATTTATCTTCTCTGCTCTGATCGATCAATAAACTAGGCGCGTGGATTATGACAGTTCCGTAAAAGTGTGGATTTTTTCGGTCCCTTTTTACCTGCCTTAAAGTACATACTCTCAATTCTCGGTGTAGTTTTGAAATCATAGAGTCCATTTTGAACTGTTTGAGTAAAATAAGCCAAGCTCCGTTCCTCACCAGTTGTTACTTGGCTTTCTAGGTAGTGATTTTCTGTCGATCGACTTCACTGTCGTTGGGAAATTTACCCATGGAGTGAAAACACACGTAACATGTTCCCATCGTAGCTTGTGCTCACTGACTCTGATTGACTCGGAGTTTTCCCATTTTTCGAGGTCCATTATTGACCATGTTGTTTGGAAATTTTTCAAACTTCTTTTCGACTTTATTCCAATCGCTTTTCGTAAATCCTCCTTCTGCCAACGAAGTTTTTTGTTATGCAACTGTTTCGTCCTCTGTGTTTGTACTGGTGGTCTGTTACGAATGGTTAGAACTCTTACACGGGCTTGATAAATTCAGTAGGGAACATAAAAAATAATTACTATCTAAAATTCTCGATGACTACTACTCAACTTTCGCTTACCTCAATCAGTCAAGGTCAGAGATTGAAAAATGAGCCGTCGACTTTAACGAAAGTATCCGAAATTCCTCATGTCCGTTCCGACTGGCGAATGAAATTTCGATGCACTTTCAATTTTGTCACTTCGTTGCTCAAGTGCTGATCTATGAATTGCCGTTTCAATTTTCACAAATAAAGCTGTTAGAAACTTAATTTGATCTCCCCGACGCCCCCACCTATATCTTGGCCTAGGCTTGTTACCTTCTATACAGCTAGTCGACGTTTATGGTGTGCACGGCCATTTTTAGGTCAATTGAAAAACCACTCCTTCGGCAGCTCAGTGAACGGCAGCATCGAGCGATGTTAGCCGCACAGACCGGTTCTTCCAGTGGACCCGTTCACTCAGTACCGAGCAACCTCCAGCGCCATGCTCATCATCCTCCACTTTGTCCATCTCACATCACTCCGCGTCCTACCGATTCAACACCCACCTCCGCTAATCACCACCACTCAAGCCCTTCGTCTACTGGCCTTTGTTCTACGGCTTCACCTACACCCTCGTATGTGAGTTCACTGGGATGTTTTTCTGGTGGGGAATCCTCTAGCAGCAGTTCACCCGGTTCATCCAGTCCAAAACAATCACTGGGCGCCAATCACCCTGGTCCTGCTCTACACAACAGTCCGACGGGGCAACTCACTTGGGCCGGTACATATCCCCACCATGCACCAGTCCCTCCACATTCTCCAGGCACTGGATCTCACCCGCTGTGTTTCGGAGTCGCGCCTCTTACACGGCCCATGAATCATCCTTCAACATCAAATAATTCTGCGGCGCCACCGGCTGTCCGGTTAGGTCACGTCGATCCGATACGCCAACCTTCGGTAAGTTGGCTTTGCATAATATACGAAGCTATATCACCTTCGAAACCGACATATGTCCGTTTGTTACAACTGCTGTCCCATACGGCTGATACTCGTTTGAAGCCTTTGCCTTGTTAATCGCTTCTCCGAAAGCTCGTCTCAGGTAAATCTACCTAACTTTCGTTCTGTGGGCTTAAGCATCAAACAGCAATCTTATGTTTGATGAGGTCGCCACTTCTATTTCCTATGGTTCAAACTTCCACTAGGTCCGTTCACTGTGTTCTCTGTTCAAACAAAGTAACACACTTCAACATTCCAGATGACGCTTACACTGAAGTTACCTCACTACAAGTGTGGGTCTACTTACCCCACAGAACTATACCCCTTCACGGCACGGTCCCGTGTTAGACAAGCTCACTCTATTGGTGTGAGTGGATACATTTCAGCTGAACATGCGGCGTCTGTTTTGAAGATACAGCATAAAGAGATTCTGGTTCGCCTGTAGACCGTTCCCGTAACTCGTGTAACACCAGTCCGTTTCGATTCGTTTCCTTAAATAATGAGGACTTCTTTCACACATTGTGGGCTTACCTGATGGTGGAAAACCCTGGCTTTAAGCCTGTGTGCGTCAACGACAGGAAAGTTACGGTTGGTTTGAGGAGTGAATTTTCAAACTCCCGCAGTATTATCCTGCATTCTATGTTTCTCGTGTAGGTTGGCGCTCTCCCGGTCATTGCCTTCTTCCTGGATGGGGACCCTGGGACGGGCCATATCAATAGTTAGAGACATTGTCAGACATAGCCCAGTCGCCTTCTCAACGACATCCAAGGCATTGTGTTCAATTCATAGCTCCCTTCTCAATATCCCCACTTAGGAATTCAATGACAACCTTGTATTTAGGCATCAATTATGTCATCTCCCGCCTTCAATGTACAGCCACCTACCCCACCTACCCAAATCACCGGTGAACGAAACCGCGGCAGCTACAACCATTGTATGACAAATATTCGGTTCTTACAGCTGATAATGATGAATGTGATGATTTTTTTCTTTCGTAACCCAATAGGTATCAGATCTTACTGCCACAGTGAGCAAAGGTGTATGGTTTGTAACTATCGTGGGTGGCTTTTGGTTTTTTCGCTGAGCTGGGCAACTTGATTGCAAACCTTTCATCACCAATCGAGGGGACGTCATCAGTGCGTTGTTATGGAGCGTGGTGAAGAGACCATCTATGCTACCTGAGCTATCAACATTCTCTTATATAGCAAACTATCGTGGGTGTTGTCCAGTTTGCTATCCGCATGGTGCTGTTAAGTTGATCAGGTTTCATCTGATACGGGCTCTGCGATGTTCATTTTGTCGTGTACTCATATGATCCATAATATCTTTCAATCAGATGTTTCATGTTTCTTCAGCTGCTCTGAGATCGGATAGGCGGTGCGTTGCACCCACTCATTCTCCCTTAGGTGGATCACTTATGACGGGTCTTCTGAAGTGTTTTCTTAGTTTCAGGACCGTTTTTACTTTATATCTTCATCTTATCTCTGTTTTATTTTTTTTGGTTTCTGTACTTGCCTTGGATACCGTGATACCTGCTCACATGGGTACGAAAAGGGAAAATCGCCCTGTGAGCACCCCTTTCGTGTATGCGTGATTGGTGAGCACGCAGCTAAGTATCTAGGTCAGTTCTACGCTTACATTTGCTCCAAGGGATATCATTCACCTCACATGTGCCAACACGCAACGGACAGTCAAAGACTCCGAAGTTGCTGCCTCACTCTGCTCCGAAACGCAATGATGTATCAATAAGCGTACATTAAGCACACCACACTATGCACCGGAAAGGTACGGTGCATGGCCATTAGCCACCGAATTTGACCCAAATTCAAACTGAAAATCAACTCGCAACTCCGTAGGACCACCACTGTGGACTTATGCTTTTTCAGTCGTTACTCGACTATATTCATTGTTGAACCATAGTGCGTTGGAATGAAATCTCGACCTTGAAGCTTTAGCAACCAAAACCAAACCCTTTACTTTCATTTTTGTATTTTATCAGGTTCCTCAGCCTATGAAGTCTTCATGGGATCCGGCCGTAGGCAATGTAATGAACTGGGCTCCGGTGGCTTCAGAGCCTCTCGCACCCAGTACATCTGAACATCTGTCACAGCAAGCTAGCGCCTTGATATCTTCCGGTCAAGTTCGTCTACGACGTCGTAGTCATATGTTCGCTGTACAACATGCATCAACTGACACAACGCCAGAGGCTACTTGTCCCACAGCAGTAGCTCAGCATCCTGCATCCGCAGATCCCTACATATGTGGACCGGACAAAGGTGGTGATGTACGAAGTGAACACTAACCATGTCCGGTCCTAATTCAAGACGTCTTTCTTTCATCTTCACCTCCACTTCCACACACTCAATGAACGACTGGCCTTCTTGCCTCAACTGACACCTGCTTGCCGATGGTCATGTGTTTTATCATGCCCTTCACTTACTTCGGCGCCTTTGTCACTGTGATCCCCTGGTTTCTGTATAATTTCGGGCAGTAACCCCAGGACCTGCATTCATTTTGGTCTTGATATCTATGTAATTCACCTTAACGCATTTCTCTGCTAACCAGAGCGCATGGACAAGCCTCGAATCCCCTGGAAAACTTTTTTCAATCTTTTTTCTCACCTTCCACCTTTGTGTGTACTTGTTGCTCTGTCTCCCTTCCTACATCGATTTCGATGCCTCTTCTGTGTGCGTCACCTTTTTGACTAATTCTGCTGAGTTTTGTCTTCACAACGGCGACGAGGAAGACGATCTTTCCGCAACTTCTGACTTTATGTCACGCGCTTGTGACTCCGAGATCACTTACTCTTGTCTGTCGTCCTCGATTTCCAACCCCAGCTTCGTCCCATTCTTCCTATCTGTTTTGTAATTTTTTCATTTTCCCGCCGTAACGAGCGGGGCCATTTTCTCACATCACTTTGTGTACAGTCTCCAGCCCCATACTACCCCCCCCCCAAAAGAAAACCATTCATTTCTCTCCTCTTTCGAGTGGACCGCAAATGTTTATTTGTCCCATAATTTCATTGTCACACACAAACACATAACATTGACATCGTTCGCGTTCTCTAATTTAACTGAACAAATAAATGCTTGAAACGGATATCGACGTGATTCACTGCGGACTATTTCCTTCTGTCTTCACCCGTGCTCTGTCTGAGCTTGAGTTGCACCATTATGGCTTCAAAACACCTCACATTCCATACTCGCCTGATAGCTAGCACCTTGGTTTGATGATCGGGTTAGAATGCTGTTGTGATTCGGATAGAACTGCATTCGTCGTGACTCAGTAAAACTGACGTGACCCAAAAGGAGCAGTCAGAAAAATTTCAGCTAGCCGCTCTCTTACGGGAAATCGTATTATGGGAGGGGCAAAGGCCAGTGTTTTCATGGTTAGGAAAATAACAATGTCTTTCCCCCAAGAAAGGTAGGTTAGGAAAGGTCAGTCTTGAAGGCTGCTCTGATTGTTTAGCGGTTGGCTGTACGCTCTTCTCTGTGGGGTAGCTCGGTCTGCTCACTTATTCTCCTCAACGTCCTCACACCTCACTCAAACATCGATGGACCAGCCAACTGTCTAACAACATGTTGCTCACTTAACTAATTTGCTACTGTTAGTTCAGTGACCCCATTCCCTTTAACATCTCCCAACTTCGATAATGTCACATTGTCTCTGACCATACTCTATCTTAGCGTCGGAACGCGAATGAAGGATCATAGTGTGATCTTACACTGGACCCCCAAATGCAAACCCTGATTTTTTACCCGCGTGTCGGGTGATTTTCAAGTAGTGGTTCGGGGTGTGTGTTGTGCTAGGGTTAAACGACCCCAGGAGTGAATGCATTTTGGGGAGCTGATTTCTTTTGCGCTTTCGCTTGTCCAGCTTAATCGCGATCAATGCCACTAGAGTAGCAAGGGGTAGTAATGGTAACATTAGTATATGCGCCGATGAAGCTGAGAAGGAACAATCTAGGCTCATTTGGCCTGTGGAAAGAACTGACATTGTTATTCTTGCGTTTGAAACGCAACACGTGGTCCTTCCATGCTCCACCAAGCATTTCACAGCTGGTTTTAGGGCGTATATTTGACAATTTTTATAATCTCTGTCTACAGAACCCCGTAGCCACTTGTCCTAATCAAGACTTCGTTCAACCTACTCGAGGTACTAGTGTGATCCATATGAGCCATTTGCCTAAAGTTTGTTCCTCATACGCGTGCAATCCTTCCCACGTAGGTGGTTTCCTCCAAAGGTCCGTTCGGTTGGCCAGTAAAAATAAGCGAAAAAGTACTTTGTCTTGTTTGAGAATCACGTAATATTGACGCGTCGGTGTGGTGAGGAGTAGTGGTTAGTTTAATTTAATGCAGTTAACTTTGTTGCTGACATTTCTGTCTTATATAACTCTAAAGAGGCTTCATCCTCGTTACTAAGCTTTCAAGACCAATCAGTTCTAGCTACCCACGAGTCTCGGTTATCGCTCAGTCAAGCAGTGGAAATGATACTTCGTCACCCATCGCCCCATTGTAGAAAACCTTTAAAGGACAAACATGCAAATGAAGTAACCATATTTATGATAACTCCATTAGGATGAAACATATATGAGCGAGATACAGTATACCTCAGATCTTTGAACTAGAATTGGCGTTGATTTCGGTCATTTTGGTGCTATGTTGAGATCACTTTTTCAGAACGTCTTGCATTTCCATCCTTTTCTGGTCAAAAAGCTTTAGTCGGATTTCTGTGAAATAGTTCCGGACTTTTTAGATTTCTCACGCTTTCCCTTCCTGCTGCTTGGCTCACTATCTATTTTCTTCCCCGGTATTCTGTCAGAATTCAATCGTCGAACTCGAGTGCTCTCTGATGTTATGGGTTGTCGTCTTGGCGATAGAGAAAACGCATAAACGCGTCTTCTCGGAGAGGTCGATTTTACTAAATTCACCTCGCCGCGTCTGCGTTCGAGATCATCCATCAAGAGCTGACCTTCGTCTTCTGCTTGAGCTCGTAGCTGTAACAAAAAGATAGTCAGGAGATATTCTGGAAGATACGCAGCACATTCACTCGAATCGGGATTTTTCCGTCAATGCCTGATGCTTCTGTTTGATTTGCTTTCAACTTACTAGCTGCTCGGGACCATTTACTTTCGTATATTGCTGTTTGTCCGGTTTAATCACTGGACAAGAGTCCCTTTGATTCTGAAGGAATTTAGGATGGTGATACGGTCTGTATTTAGCATAATTGTGGTCGCCTTTCCCGTATCCAGTGTCTGTCGTATTGAGCTACGAGATGTGGAAATAGGGTGAAACATGATCATCATTCAAAATCAGACGTTTCATCCCTTTATCTTGAAACATGTAAGATAATCATTCAGCTGTAACACCCTTTCGGTGCCTAGCTGCCATGCCACCCAAAGGGAGCACGAGGGCTGGGATACTGTCAGGTTACCCAAGCCTAGACAGGGGAAGTCGAGATGCAGAGATCGGGTTCGAACCACGAACCTTTCGGTCAGTAAATTCACGCGCTAACCAATTGAGCCATCTCGCCCCCTTGAAACTTGTATCCTGTCCCTCCTTCCCTCAGCTATGCTTTTTTCATCACAACCTCTTGTTGTTCGTTGACATTGCGTTGATTTTCAAACGCATTGCATTCTCAGAAAGAGGGGACGATGAGAATGTCAGGAATCTTTCGTTCACTTCTGAACTAAAGTCCCATGTAAGCATTCCGCAAACGGAAAGACACCCAACGACAGATGCTCGAAATATTTCGATTTCGTTAAGTGCCACGTATAACGCCTAGTAGTTCAACTAACGTGACCTCGTTGGATTAGTTGTCCTGAAAGCTAACTCGCTCCATTCTGTAATCACCTTCGACTCGCTGTTCGTTTGAACCGTTTAAACTTGGCGTAGACTACTCGTGACCATCAAAGCCGATAGATGGTCCTTTACCGTAATTTGGTTAATGCGTCCGACCGCCCTTTGGACACATCAGTTGACCATCCCGTAAATTTTAACGTTTCATATTTCTTAAGAAGAATGTGAGCAGATCTTGTCCGCACAATCGGCTTGTAAATTTGCTTAGGTTGGTCATAATTGGTTGTAGAAACAAATTCCTACAAATACATTGCCATGAAAAATACGTATTCGCTGACGTCGCCCAACTTCCTGTTTCCCGTCAGAATGCTCTACTTTTCACTTGTGCAGCTTCCTACAAACTCACCAATTAGTGTCAGTCTAACAACAACGACGTTGTGAAGCAGACCTTGTTGGACGGGGATCGTTAGCTAACTCATGAGCGATACTGTTGGTGGAGTAGCACTGCGGGGGAATGTGGAATCTCAAACGGTTCTGTTATTTCTCCGTTCCCTATACTCCAAGGGGAGGAGTTTTGGAGGCTTCCCTGCAGTTACTCTTTATATAGAAGACATATGTCGTGGTTGGTCAAGGCTCACCATCTTCTAATTGTGAGCCGAATACAGTAGCACAAACAATTTTCAATTCAACAACCAAATTGGGGGACTAGACAGCTTCTTGTTCGGAACTGACCTATCGTTTACTGGTAAGCATGATTTTAACTCGTACGAAATACTGAACTTATGAAAAGTTTGTCTATAAAGTAATGTTAGACGCGATATGTGGTTCTTGACTTCCTGTCCATGAACAGTGCTCACCGAATAAACCACAGGTAAATGCCAGCCTTGACTCACCTTAATTGCTTTTGTTAATCCTAGCATAGTTTCTGCCAGTCGGTACTCTTCTGCTGTGACCTCTCGACGTTTCTCCATCAAATCTGCAAGCCGAAGTGCCTTGAACAAAAAGAAATTGTGAGATAATTTCAACAGAAGCCTTCATTCGCAGGACACCCAATCGATGGTCGAACACGCGTAACTTGAGCACACAACTGCCCACTGTACGACGACATTTTTGATGCGCAAAAGTGCGTTGACATATAATTCAGTTTTTCACACAAAGAACGTAATCCGTGATCGGATGGCGTTCGAACAGATATAGTTACATCGGATTAATTTATGAACTCCAGCGAATGGCACGTGTAGGGGTTTACGTCACAGCAACTACCGCTCACTCCCATGCGTTGGCTGTGTGCTTGTTTTTCGTTCCATCATTCTTAAGTGTAATATAGAAGGAATTTTGTTTCGAACTTGAAATGTCCCAGCAACCTCTCAGTCATGCTGTATGCAACAACTGGGACTGCGCACTTCATTAGGCAATTCAACCTTACCTCGAGACATGGATTCCTGTTGAAGCATTTCTCCCTATAAAGCTCACTTTCACATTGTGTATTTTGACTTTTTTTTTACTTGGGCCCATGAACATCATCGAAAAAGGGCCTAGTGTAATCTGATGGAAAGGTTGCTCACTCTGGATGTTATTTGCCTCTCAGAACCCGATTCGTCCGAAGTCGATTCCATCGTTTTCTCCCGTTCGGCTCTTTGCTGTAGTAGGCTGTCCTGAAGCGCGATCCATTCTTGGATCAAAGGGGAGGACACCTCATCAGTGCAGTTATGCGTTATGACAGGAAACGATCGATTGGTGAGCATACTGCAAGGTCCGCAGTTTTGAAGTACAGGTTTCCTAGCCTGATTTCATAGGACGTCCCTCGTGAAATTTTCAAGTAAACTCAACAAACAAATTTGTTCTAATCTCGTAGGAATTCACAATCCAGCTTTATGTGCACAGAATAGTCAATTATCTGTGCGCTTCTTTGAAGAATATTGCTTTGACCGAAGATAGGTTTGAGTTGCCGTTGGTTCACTGGGTGAGGTAGGCTCGGAATATTTGGTTACTCAGTCGATGTTGTAAACTTATTGGATAGACACAACCACAACATCTAAGTCCAACATGATGTTAAGACAGGATTTAACTAGGAAATACATTTAACATTCTTGAAGCCCAAAATACAGCTCTACGATACGACCCAGTAGAGGACTTTTTTCTCATTAATTCCCATATGAGTGTATTGTACTTGAGGGTGGAACCAGTGTTGGTTTGCTGTTAACACAACCTCGTTTAACAACCTAGTGGGGAGACGGAAATTAATTGCCAATTCGCCGAGACCACACACGGTGGAAAACGTGAGAATTTATGCCAGTACGAGTATGTCATGTCTGTTTTTAAGAATATGTGCTTTTCTTCGCGACTTCATCCGTATAAGTGAAATCGCCCAATATCGAGAATCACTGTAAACTTGTTTTATTCTTGTTAAAAATCATCAGCAGTTGTCTTCTCAAAAATCTCCATAGGAAACTCACACCACATTTAATCTACTTTAGTCATTCTAGTGATGCTGGTGGAAGTAAAAATAGATTAGAAACTCAGTCTGGAAACATCAAAACCGAGAGATTCATCTGGGTTTCAAGTGAGTCTTTCGCAAAACCCAATTGGGTTGCAAATGAGTGTGTTTCGCTAACTCGATCAATTCGGTTTCAAGTAGGACATAAGATTATCGGAAACTCGGGGACTGTGCCTACCTGATGAGACGCAAAAAGGGCGGAATCGATCGTGGGCTGCCGACGAGTTTTCAGCAACCTTATGAGTAGCGCATTACAAATATAGAAACTCATTCCTATGAAAACACATTTCATGAACTGAAGATGCTATTTAACTGGCTTGCATTATCCATATCATTGTGTATAAAGATCCATGCATATATGCATAGTGCCCGTAACGTACCTCTGCGGAATCGGAGTTATAGTGCCTAATAGAGACTATTGATCGACGCATCATATCGTCCAGGCGCAGTCGGTGTTCGTTCATACGCTCCTCAATTTCTGGGGCCTGTCTTTTGGCGACATAATAACGGCGTTTCCATTCGTCTCGAACTGAAAGACAATCGGTTGGATCAGCTGAAGATGCTTACTTGACCATTATTGATGTTTTCCATCAAATGGCGATAATAAAATGAAAGCTATCACAGCTTTGTGCTAACCAGTATGCATCTTCGTCAGTATAAGTTAACTTTCATTTTGATCGATTTTTGTCCATAGTTATTTAGGAGTTAGCTTATATAATAGACGTCTCATAAAACAACTGAAGATTGCAGTGTTCTACCTCGTTCAATAGTTTGTTACTTTGAGGAAATCTGAACGGCTGAATCCCCGATCCGTTTAGCCGCTTAACACGCGTATGCTAGAAAGTCAGACGGCTTGTGCGGAGCCGAACGTGTTGCTATGCCCAAAAACCTGGCGCCGGTGTAAATGCGAACAAATAAAATCGGTGGGCAAATGTTCAGAGCCTGTCGTAACCCATCAACCGGCATAGCATAACAGTGGGCAGTATGCCATCTTGGAATCGTTTGGCAGAATACACGATGAAGGCTCATAAAAAAATATCTCCATTTTACGCCGAGGCGAGAAGTTGCTTAATGGAACGCCGTAGTCAGCCTGTGTTATTTTGCTCCAGAATGCTAAATATGCGCAGCTGTTTGCAAACAGCACCATGCGCTCGCACTGCGGTGTTCCAGCCAAGAAACACTCCTAATTGAACTATTCAATCGGTATTGAATCGTAATTTCAGTGCACCGCCGCGCAATGTTGTTAAGTAAAGGCTGAAGAGGAATAGGTTAAGAACACAACCCTTCTCCATTCTGTTATCGATTAAGAATTCGTTGGAAGTGGTTCCCGATGTCCGAACCGGCGTTTTCATCTCAATGTGAAAGGCTTTGATGAGGCTGACAAATTTGTCTGGACAGCCGTCCATTCGTAGGATGATCCACAGTGACCCTGCTGATTGAGTCAAAAGTTTCGGTCAATTCGGTTGGTTCCTTTCACAGTACTTCCCTTTGACTTGTGGTGAAAATCAAGCCAATCGTATATCGACCCCCTTCAAATTCCACACTGTTGCTCAAGGCCGGTTTTTATGCCAGAGTGCCAGCGACTAATCGATTGAGCAGGATACGAGACATAATCTTGCCCGCTATGCACAGGATACTTATTCCGCGGCAGTTGTGTGTTTTCTACCGATTTCTTTTCCCTTCATACACGCATCTTCGAAATCCCGCTAAAACTTTTCCATCTTTCAAGTTGTTCATAGCATGTTGGGAATCTCATCATGGATTGTCTGTCTTCCCAGATTGAACAGTTCGTCAAAATTGGATCGACAGGCGGTATGCTGATAATTCTGTCAACCTTACTACTTGTTGAATACGTTGAAACGGCCTCTTATTTTAGATGAAAATCAAATTACATCGTTCGATTGTGACACTCGGTGCATAGTTGTCATGCGGCCTGAGAAAAGTACCAGAGTTGAGTTGCTGCCAGGTTTCCAAAGAAAACAAGATGGTTTTCGAACTACGAGTCTTTAAGGCCGCAGCGCGCATCACCGTTTTGGACAATGGGCCTCAACCATGGTCTCCATATCTTTTTATTAGGAAATAATAATAATGGCAACACAGCTCTATCCTTCTCGAGGAGCACTTGAAGAAACCCACAGGAAGCGGTTTCTTCTGCAAAGTGATCGGTAACCGTTGCGGAATCTTCACGCGATCCATCAAATGTTCGTTTCGGAAGTATCTCTTGCTGGGTCAATATGCCAATTTATTATTATTACCGTTATTATTGCTGGTAGTAGTATTCTAATCTTTTTAGTAGCAATATCGCTTGTCCGCCGCTGTTGTAAATGTTGACGAGTAATTTATACTTGGTCGCATTAGCACCAATACTGACGCCACTCACTAATGATATAAATAGCACTATCCATATCCAAGATACGTTAATGAGACAGGTATCGGTGGCACAGCGTATAGTAAATATGCGTTTCCGTTTAGTTCCATCTACATTCTCGTTGGTCGCTATTGCTTTTTGTAAGCCGTAGTTCACGGTGTCATCCGATGGCTGTATTTCTGTTTGTTAGTTTTGACCCAGTTTTCACATGCAAGTCGGCTTCTACAGCTCAAAAGTGAGTTGGGAAGCGAACAGTTTTGTTGAAACATCGTCATGGTTATGTTTTTCCCCTCGTCACCTTCCACACCTTGGCACTTTGTTCTAAACTGTGGTTCGGTACGCTTACTTGGGCTTGTGAAACGAAAAATTCCTTCGCTGTACGTTCTGTATCTTATTCCCAAATTGTGCTCTGGTTCGTGTGTTACTTTTGTCTGGGTATTGTTGGCCTGGCTGATTGTTCCACGTAACCCACGTACCACAAAGCAGCAACACGAGGCTGTCCCAGATAGCGGACAAAAGGGATCTTGTATTGCATTTGCGATCGAGTTTGTTGCTAATGTCAATCGAATCGTGTGCACATAGACCAAAGATAACCCATTTGAGCAGTCGGTTAAGTTGTCACTTTGACTTCCCAGCTGCTAAGAATTCTAGAAAACTAGTAAGTCGAAACTTCTTCACAGCCCTGAAAATTAAAGCGTATCAGGGTCAGCTGATTCTCAGAGATAGCTATGTTATCCTTCGAGAAATGGCAATGAAGATATTGGATCTAAAACGAAATAAGTTTAATCTACCGCACTTAATGCTGAAATATGGAGCAGTACGACAATCTGGTTTGTCCTGTCCCAACGATTAACTGTCACACAAGTTCTAGTGCGATCAAATAAACTTGCTAGTTGGATAATCTATCAACTACAGTGCATTAATAGAAAAACTAGTGAACTATTTTCGACAAATGAACACGGAGGGAAATATAGCACCTGATAGATAACTAGAACTGGGGCAATTCACTCGCCACTTCTATCGTTTGGCTTAAATAAATGAGAAACAAACAGGCTGGTTACCTTGGGTTCGCCTGGTTGCCAGATCAATGTACAGTTGATTCAGTCGTTTCACTAGTTCCACTCGGCGTTGCTCTTGTGCCATGCGTAGACGCTTCAGCCGCAAATGCTCGTTGCCTTCCGTGAGTGGAACTGAAACTGGAACTATGAAACAAAAGTTGACTGAGTCAACATCCTGGTAATCAGTCCACACAATTTGGTCGTATTCCAACATAGGGAAGCCTGAAACATTTCACCTTTGTGTGGCTTCCTTATGTTGTTGCCTGCGTTATTTGTGAACTTTTTTTAGTGTTAGTAGCCCAACTACTGGAAGTCCTAGAAAAATTCCTTCTCTTTTCAACGCTCGATGCGTTGCGCAATGCAATACATAAACGCGCTAATTCACGTGCGTGTGAAATCTAGGTTTAATCCGCCTCCCCTCTCTCTCTCTCAAATAAGGATCAACCAAACAATGTGGAATCTGTCTAGGCTTTATCCAGCTAGAGGTATGTTAGCTGCCCTACAGGAAAAGCATGCTATAAAACCCCCTATTCGTGGCACTTGCGGTAATCGGACTTAATCCAGAATTTGAAAGACAAAAGTCAATAAATCTCGGAAGAGTAATCTTTGTCCTTATCCGACCTGTGGTTTGGAAACCGGTCACTGCCGTCATACACACTTGGCCATCTGTGGCTGGTTGGTTGTTCCCGAATGGATGTGTACCCAGTCTGCAGACCCGACGGTCGGCGCTCGGGTCAGATTGGAGAATCTCCCACGACGGTTACACTTATCCTGGTTAAATAACAGAAGTATTCATCATGCATTGAATCGATCCGAGATGAACATTGAAAGCCTACCTAATAACTTGGTGGTTTACAAATCCCGCCTGACCATAACGAACAAGGTATGTAACAGCAAAAAGTCAACTCAAGCTATGACAGTATTACTGAACGCGAAACCCCGAATGCACGCACGGCCTCCGGGTCGAAATTGTAGCTGTATCCCCATCATACTACTCACAAGGATATTGCGTTAGAAACGCGTTAGATAACGCGTTATAAACACGTTAGAACCTGCAATTCGCAGCTATACGGACGTGACGCACATATTGCGGGTGTTGAATGCAGATACTAAAAATAATCCGAAACAAATAACTTACCCAAAGGTAGAACCGAACGTTTTACCTACGAAAAAGCCAGAGGATAGGAACATCTCAACAATTGGCAACACGAGCACAGTTTTGTTCGAACAAGAAATAAAGATTTAGTAAAAACAAAGCCCACTTATCCACCGACTGCCCAATCCTATTTTCACCTATTTGTGCCAAGATGGTAATTCGATATGTTTAGTTGCACTGACAAATGTTCAAGAATGCCATTAACGCGTTTTTGTCAAAATGTACTGGCGTAGTAACCTGCGTTCCTTTCTAGCTATCCTTACGATGGATCGGTAATTACGAGTTGGCTCAAAGTGGTTGCCTTCAAACTGTGGCAAAGTAGGCAAATCTAAAGTGCATTCTAAAAGCAGATCAAATGCCTCGAAAAAAATGAAGAAACTGATGACAGCACTTACTTTCGCAGGCGTCGGTGGAGGGAGGAAACTAAAAGAGAAAACGAGAGATGCAACCTTCCGTGTGTTTTGAAGCTTACTCAATGTACAAAATTTATGTATTTTATAGTTAATGTAGAAGCGGAACCGAGCAGACTCCTGAATCAGTCTCGGAATTTGTTATTGGTCCACCATCTTTACAAGCTGATAATATTCGCGCTGCATACAAGGTCTATGGACAACGTAAAAGAAATTTGTTTGGGTTTTACACCGGTTTCTGGGGCATGTAAATACGACAAGACCTCTTAGTTTATCTCATATGTCGTTGGAATCGCCAGAACAAAAACATAGAGGACTGAGGAAATGTATAATCTTAGAAATAACTTTAGAACATCGGTTACCAGCACTATTGAAATCCGACGAATTGCTAGCAAGTCCACTAGGGCTTGTTTGAATGTTAAGTTAGCTGGGTATCAAACTGAGCATATTTACAGTGTCGCCCATGCTAGCAGGAGCTTAATTGCGATGGCAAAGTTTCTGAACGATGATTTTCAGTCACTATTGAATAAAAACATCCGATTTTGAAGGCTATTTCATGTTTTTTTAATGGCCCGGTTGAACGATGCCACTACCGCATGAACCCAAGTATCTGCTGAAACCACTCTATGCTACTTACTAAGATTCAGTAGCCGAACCTACACTTCATATCTCACCCGCCGTTTGTTTCATTTTTAGTGCGATAAAAAAAACTCATCTTCACTGCCGAACGCGGTAAAATAACACAGCGATCGCCACAGTTTTCTCATTTCTTTTCAGTTCGCTTTATTGCAATTACGGGGCTGTCATCTGGCCTAACTTGGCAGATTGCACCTGCTTGTTATCACAACGGCAAAAATTCGAGTAATTTCTCTATGCTCATTATTAGGAGAACGTAGAGCACTTCAAACGAAAGGTTGATGAAGTTGAGTCCCCATCCGTCAATAACTACCAAGTCAGTGGCTTACATAAGGACGTCTCTGAAACTATTATCAAGGTGCACTTCACCTGTGGCCGAAAAGGTTTCCGACAGAACCTAGCAGAATGCACATGAAAAACACGTTCTTATTTGTACAGTGTCCAGGGCGGCTCATCCGTCAGATAATGTGTGATCATAATAAGAGAGTGAGTGTTATTGACACCGTAGAAACCGTAAAACAACTCTTAAGGTGACTCAAATGCTATCACCGTCGACTGTCATCAGTGGCGATACTTAACAGGCCGAATGGTTCATATCAGTTCGCACCGGGGAATAATTATTTGGATTCAATATTGGCGGGACAATATTCATTATCGTCTATTATTAAAAATCGACTATCTCATATACGTTTTTCAATAGTGACTTATTTCATTCTTCTCCACATCACTGGTTAGTAAAATACTGTGGTGTAGGTTGTGGACCGCAGTCCCTTAATGCCTTCTTAGTACCTTGAACCCCGGTCTGGATAGCCGCTTGATCACCTGGTGCGCTTGGCCAAACCAGAAAAGTCTATGAACTTACGAGCCATCTGCTCTATTGATCACTGTCGTGTACAAGGGGTCAGAAGTGAAACTAAGGATACAACTCATCTGTCAAGGGCGAATGAAGAACAACCAATGAAGTCCGTTTCAACGAAAAACGGTTATTCCATTGGCAGTTGTGTAGTCCCGTTACTTTCGGAGCTAGTACTCCTAATGGTGTACAGCAGGACAAGATTGTCACCTGGTTTGACAACCTGTGGCGCTGTTTAATAGTGCATCTGGTAGATAACGTCGATGCCAAGGCTGTTCAATTTGCCTACTATAACTCACTTGGTGTACTCACAGATGAAGGGCAATCTATTCGAACCATACTGATTTCGATTACCATACTAGAGCCATGCGCTTCGTCTCAATAGTCTGTCATGCCATATGGTAAACAACTAAATTGCGGCTGGAAATGCAATGGATTAGGTTGTCATTGCCATACTTAACCGACTGAGTTGAGGAGTTTCCTTTTTTATCCGAAATTTGTCCAACATGGCGCAAAACAGATTACGGGGGCAAAACTGTCTGCCAATGAACGTGGTCTTGAACAAGGCACAACGGCCCGATCCAAAATGTATCCGCAAATCAAGAGGTTGATTACCCCCAGGGGAGATGCTTCCGAGAATATGGCAGCACGTTGCACAGGGTGAACTGTATCTTCCATGCATATATCACTTAATACTCAGAACTCTAACTTCAATTGGTCCGCCTAGGATAACAACAACGGGTATCCATTCGAAAGCCGTTGGTTTGGACGCAAGTAGTCCCATTGATGTCATTGCATTGTGAAAACATCTATACTTGCACATAAATGCGCTGGTTAGCCACCAAAACTATCTTGTTTGATAAACACTACACTTTACAGACATGTTTCATGGTTAGTCCTGAGACGTCTCGATGAGACTGCTTTGAAGGGATGCTACCGTCTCCGAGATTACGGTGAATCTTAATTACAACCGTGCTGAAAGAAGCCGTCGATGAAACTTCCATGCGCCTACTGCTATAAAATATTATCTATGAGTTTTGAATCAGTTTCACTTTGAATGATAATTCTGTCCAACGAGCTTCCACGTCCAACGACAGACCAGAAGGTTCCACCAGACAGTAGATATCGCAAGAATCACAGTCAAAGAAGAAAAATCGCACCTTGCTGGATCCATTTTCCCCTGAAATTTTTGTCCTATTTGATGCGAGGGAAATGCAAGTACTGTCACATTCACTCAACAAGGTGACGGATAGAAAAGATGCTAGATGATTATATTCTTACCCATCAGGCACAGCTACACTATGCAGTTTTTGTAGAACAGCGACTTACTGTAGTCGTTTTCACGTCAGGCGTACGGAAATGCTATGAGGTAACTTCACGAAACGATATATTCAATCACCCAACTCCAAATAGATGTGCACTCTTCGAGAGGAGTGTTGTTCCATACTCTAACTATGTGGAACGCAAAAGCACTGGCCTAATTAAGTTCCTCAGGTGTAACCGATATCCTGAAGTTGAAATAATATTGAATTCAAATCCGAACTACCTAGTCTAGTTTGACCCCCACCCCATTTCAACTTTTAATGGACGTAGACTGTGTAGAACATCATTAGTGCAACAATCGCTAGAAAGCTGATTATTTGCGTAGAACCAAGCGTTTGCTGAAAGTGACTATGTTTATTCAAGATTCCTAAAGCAAAACACAGATTGTTGACCGTGTCAGTCGGGATTTTGTCCACCAGCCACCAAACAGTGGTTGCCTAATATCACGGACATCCTCACCTATGTACTTGAATTTCAAACCACGTACGTCCTGCTCTAATACAACACAAAAAACTTTATAGACGCCGTAAATTAAATCCAACACGAATCATTGGATGCCTTAAGGTTTTCCCAGGCTTGACTGTATAGTTCAGTGATAGGTAATCGTACTTTTGGGAGTTTCACCGAGTCTACTTATTTTGAATTGGATAAATTGTTTTTGACGCTTTTGTTTCGATAGAATGTAGTAAGTCCGTATTTAAACTCAT